TTGGAAACCTTATACAGGATTGCTATGAGTCAGAACCAACTTGAAGACACTTAACAGTAGCAACAACTGTACCTTGTCAGTTACATGGTTTGCTAGTACAGTAACACCTGCCAGAGCTGGAAGCTGTGTAAGGCAGAAACCTGTCAGAGAAGGAAAACTCACATACTTTCCACTAATAGAGAGTGATGGAGCCCTGGTGTGGCACCATAGGATAAGCACTTGATCATAAGGTCAGTTTGAAACGCAAGGTCGGCAGTTCAAACTCACCAGCTGCTTCTGTGAAACCCTATACAGGGTCACTGTGAGTTGGAACTGACTTGACTGCACTTAACAACAACAACAACAACAACAACAATAGAGAGTGATAGAAAAAGTGATAAGACTGATCTCTGGCAAAGTTGGAAAACTTCTAAGACCCAGAAAGGCAGAGTTGTCCCGATGAATTCTGGCCTTCAGAGGTTTTACTGTATTTTTTTTTTTTTTTTTTTGCCATCCTGCAGGCTGTAGCAATTTAGCTTTACAGACGCCAGGTCTATGCTGGAAGTCTTTGTCCTCTGAGTCCCTCTTTGTCATCCACCGAATGGGAAGAGGAGGTTATCTTTGCCAGGTTATGGGTCTGGCTGGACGGTGGCCAGGAATGGAGCAGTGCTGATGGCCTTTCTTTTCCTTGGCAGGAAGATGAGTGATTATATTTCGGCCATCATTGAGCTGAGTGCCCTGGTGGTTCGGCGCCAGTACCGCATACACCATCACCTGGACTTCATCTATTACCTCACAGCAGATGGGCGGCGTTTCCGGCAGGCCTGTGACACCGTGCACCGCTTCACTAATGAGGTCATCCAGGAGCGGCGGCAGCTGTTACATAAACAGGGTGCTGAGGCCTGGTTGAAGGCCAAGCAGGGCAAGACCTTGGACTTCATTGATGTGCTGCTCCTGGCTAAGGTGAGACTGGGTCCCTGAGGGTGGAGCCCTGCCTGAGCCAACCTCCCCATAAAGGCAGTACCAGGTGCATACAAGGTTCAATGTTAAGATGAACACAGACTGAGGATGGAGTCAGATGCCGATCACTTAAGACATACAAAGATGAAACCCAAGACCCTGAAGAAAGGTGACACTTGAGGAGGAATACCACCTGCCTTGAGTGGACTCTGACTTGTGGTGACCCCATGTGTGTCAGAGTAAAACTGTGCTCCAAAGGGTTTTCTTTGTCTTTAAGTTCTTTTTTAAAAATTGTGCTGAAAATATACATAACAACATGTACACCATCCCAACAGTTTCTACATGAATAATTCAGTGACATTGATTATATTTGTCAAACTGTGCAAAAATTTTTGCTATCCTTTTCCAGATGATTCCACCACCATTAATATAAACTCTACAATTGAAATTTCTACCATGAAGCAAAAACTCCCCCTTCCTTCTCCCTCCCATTCCTGGTAATCATTAACAAGCTTTGGCTTCTTTCTATTTGGTTATTTCATATAAGTGAGATCATACAGTATTTGTCCTTTTGTCACTAACATTTCAAGGTTCACTCATGTCATCAGTTTGTCGTGCTGTGGTGGCTTGCATGTTGCTGTGATGCTGGAAACTCTGCCATGGGCAGGCTCTGCCAAGCTCACCCATGGTGGACAGGTTTCAGCTGAACTTCCAAAGAGAGCCTAGGAAGAAGGAGAGGCGGGCTACTTCTGAAGGTTTAATCACTGGAAACCTTTGAACAGCAGTGGAACACTATCAGATAACACCAGACTATTGAATATTGAAACATTACGTGCCACTTTGGCACAGTAGCAAAAGCAATGGGCTCAAGCGTACCAAGGATTGTGAGGATGTTGAAGGACCGGGCAGTATTTCAATCTGTTGTGCATGGGGTCACTGTGAGTGGGAACCAACTCGGCAGTACCTAACAACAGCAACAACCCCTGCTGTGGCATGCTCTATGGTGCTTCCAATGGCTGAAGTTTTGGATGCAGATTGCCAGGTCTTTATTATGAGGTACTTCTGGGAGGACTCTAACCTCCAACCTTTTGATTAGAAACCAAGTAGTTTAACCATTTTTACAACCCAAGGACCACCCACTTCTGTTGAGTCAATTCCTATTCGTAGTGTTCCTATAGCTCAGAACAGAAGTACTCTCTAGGCTGTAAAGAGAGTTATGGGAGCAGACCCCACACACCACGACAGAGGAGTTACCTATCAGTAGTGTTTCTGTGGCCTGGTTAAACAGCACTGGGTTCTCAGTTTGAGTAGTCATGGATTTGGATCCTGATTTTACCACTTAGTAGACACTAGATCTTGGTCCTGCTACTCATCTCTCTGAGACTCACTCTCCGCATTTATAAACAGAATAGTAAGCACTTCAAGGTGTTGTCAAGTATCCAGCAAGTTGCTTGGAGCTGCTCAAGAAATGTGGACTTCTTTCTTCTTACCTTTTACTTTCCTTCCTCCTTTCCATCTTTCTTGGACAACTTGCATCCCACCATCTGCCTGGGCTAATTCCCCCCAAAGTTTGGCTGTATCTGACTCTGGAGGAGCCCCTGGAAAGCAGAGGCTGGGGTGAGGCATGCTGGGCATCTTCTCATTCTTCATGTCATCATCCTTCATTCCAGGATGAAGATGGGAAGGAACTGTCCAATGAGGACATTCGAGCTGAGGCTGACACTTTCATGTTTGAGGGTGAGGACATAGGAGGAGTTCCACCAGTGTGTGAAGATAGCGCCTGTGTTGTCTTTGGGTAGCCTCAACTCAGCATGGCATCTTCCTGCAGGTCACGACACAACCGCCAGTGGACTGTCCTGGGTGCTGTTCAACTTGGCAAAGTATCCGGAGTACCAGGATAAATGCCGGGAAGAGATTCAGGATGTCCTCAAAGGCCGGGAGCTGGATGAGCTGGACTGGTCAGTTGGGGTCAGGGGATGATGGGGGAAGGCTCTCTGTTACCATGTACTGAAGCAACTTTGGACAAATCATTCCAGCTTTCTGAGCTTCCAGTGTTTTCAATTCCAAAATGAGGATGATAATAATGCATGGAAAAAACCCCCAAACCAAACCCATCGCTGTCAAGATAGCCCCATGTGTTACAGAGTAGAACTGTGCTACATAGGTTTTTCTTGGCGGATCAGTTATGATTAACTCAGCTTTATTGCCCTGAATTTTAAAGGAAAAAACTTGTTAAGTTAAGATTAGAATAACAGACTAAGTAAATAATAAAACAATAACGAAACAGCAAATAATAGAATGATTAAGTACTGAAAAAGGAAGACCTAAAAAAGAAAGGACACATTCAAACTGTGGTGTAGGCAAAGATTATTGAATAGACTGTGGATTGCCAAAAGAGCAAACAAATCAGATGTAAAGAAATATAGCCACAATGTTCCTTAAAAGTGATGAAGACAAGATTTGGGTTCTCTCCTGACATCGGACACATCATCGGAATGACCATTAGCTAGGAAAGGACTCATGGGGACCCCGTGAGTAACAGAGTAAATGCTCCAGATGCTTTTCTTGACTACGTTCTATGGAAGCAGATTGCTAGGTCTTTCCTTCCATAGTACTAGGTGGGTTTGAACTGCCAACCTTTTGGTTAGCAGTCAAGCACTTAACCAATTGTGCCACCTAGGATTAGGATTCAATACATACTCTGGGGGGATATAATACTATTAGTGGGGTGTGCACAGGGCAACTGCAAATGATGGGAGTTGGGGTCCAGCTGAGCTCCTGAGCATGTTATGAAGCAGAGCCTGAGGGTGTGGATTGTGAAAGGCCTTGAATGCCTGGTTGAAGCACTTAATCTTGAAGGCAGTAGGGAGCCATGGGAGGTGTTTGAGCTGAGGTTCCAAATCAGCTGTTCCTGAATGTGTGTTTGTGTTAGGGGTGGGGGTGTTCCCATGGCCTGGCCCCAAGTCACACCCCTTTCTTCCCAGGGATGACCTAACCCAGCTGCCCTTCACCACAATGTGCATCAAGGAGAGTCTACGCCAGTTCCCACCTGTGACCCTTGTTTCCCGACGTTGCACGGAAGATGTCAAGCTTCCAGATGGGCGCATCATCCCCAAAGGTGCATGGTCCTCACAGACGGGGCAGCTCACTGTATGTCCCTGGGGTGGTGGGAGACACACTTGTGTGTGTATGTGGGGAGATAGAGGTGCATAGGTCTGGTGAGAAGGAAGGAGTGAAGGTGGCGAGGTTGAGCTCTGAGAGGGTGCAAATTGGAGAAGTTGGTTTCCTCCGGTTGCCAGGTATCTGCTGGGGACCGAGCCCTTTGTAGATGGTGTGGGCATCTACAGAGGCATTGGATACCACCACCCAGTTTTGGGGAGAGACACCAGGGCACACACTCCCAGTCACATGGGCCAGGGATACGCTAAAGGGAAGGATAGGAGCTGGGACAACCTCAAATATGGAGTCGTGGCTCTATTTGGGAACAATGCAGGATGGGCTGCCTGGAGTAGGGGTCATAGGAGGAGAGCCTCAAAAGCTGGGAGTGATCATGTTCATAGAGTGGATCCTCAGGGGTTGAGAAAAGCCTTGAGTGCCAGGTTGAGGCACTTGAATTTGATCTGAAGGGCAGTAGAGAGCCATGGGAGGTGTTTGAGCTGAGCATGACTAATGTTGGATCTGCGAGTGAGGAAGATCCCAGTGACAGGGACCTCACAGGAGAGACAGGGGATGTGGATGAGGCAGCAGAGTTTTTCATGGAAGGATGGGCAAGAAGTGGTATCAGGTGGATCGTGGCCAGGCTCTGGCTCACTTTAACCCAACTGCCTCCACCTCTCCTCACAGGAGTCATCTGCCTGGTCAGCATCTACGGGACCCATTACAACCCCTTAGTGTGGCCGGACTCCAAGGTGAGTAAGATCCATCCTTCCCTGTCCTTGGCTCCTTCCTGTGCCCAGGGAACAGCAAGTCAGGGCTGGTGCAGAGCCTGAGCAGCCCGCTTACTCACACGACTCATTGTTAATTCATCAGGTCAACAGTGTGCATCCATCACTTTCTGTGGGTCAGACCCTGAGCTGGGCACTGAGTATGGAGAAATGAGCAGGCCATCCTCAGGGAACTCACAGTATTGCAAAGGGAAGACAATAAGCGAGTAAATACAAGAGGGCTTCAAAAAGTTTGTGGAAAAATTCCATGATCTTGACATTCCATCCTGGTGTGGCGCTGTGGGCTAATGCGTTAGGCTGCAAAGCCGTTTGAACTGCAAGGTCGGTGGTTCAAAGCTCACCACCTGCTCCCTGGAAACCCTATACAGGGTCGCTATGGATCGGAATTGAGTTGACATCACTTAACAACAACAATGACCAACTGTTTGAAAAGCCCCCTGGTAAATACGATCCGTTTGGATATGGATAAGTGCAAATAAATAAAAGGAAATATATAAAAATGAGAAAGGGGGCAATTTAGCTCAGATGGTCAGGAAAGGCGTTGGCAAAGAAGAGACGAAAGGATGTGAGAAGCAAGGGGAAGGACATTCCAGGCAAAGGAAAAGGCAAGTGCAAAGGCCCTGAGGTAGGAATGAGTCAGCTGTGCTTGAAGGAAGAGTGCAGCGTGGAATCGTGAGTGTGGAGGAAAGTGGGGCCCATACCATGCTGGTGTGTAGCTAGGTGAGGTGCTTGTAGTTGTTTCTAGGGTAACGTGGAGCTCACCCATGCACACACTTACCGGCTGAGCTTCAGTTTCTCTCCATCCCAGAGAATGAGGCAGGGGTCCAGGCTGGGATGGCTGAGCCAGCCCCCAGATGCAACCTGTGATTTCTCCTGCCCCCAGGTGTACAACCCTTACCGCTTTGATCCCGAGAATCCACAGCAACGTTCACCACTGGCGTATGTGCCCTTCTCTGCTGGACCCAGGTAATTCCACCTTCCTGTCCCAGCCAAGAGTGAAAGGAAGTCCAGGCTCTTAGGGCTCAGGGATCTGTCCATCAGCAGCAGAGACCACGCCCTACCCAGGGGTCCTGGTGCCCATTCTGAGGCTCCCCAGCCAGACTCTGGAATAGCAGCGCCATGTATTGAGCGCCTACTGCTTACCAGACCCTGAGTTCTAGGTTCCTCTGCTCCCAATGGCTATGTCATATGGCAGCATCAGGATTCGAACTCCAGACCCCCAGGTCACAGTTATTTTGGCTTCTCATTTGCACCATCACCCAGCCCAGGATGCGAATGCGAGGCCTGAGCTCTGAGGCCTGGATCCCTGTTCTTTCAGGAACTGCATCGGACAGAGCTTCGCCATGGCCGAGATGCGCGTGGTGGTAGCGCTGACGCTGCTGCGCTTCCGCCTGAGCGTGGACCGAACTCGCAAGGTGCGGCGGAAGCCGGAGCTCATCTTGCGCACCGAGAACGGCATCTGGCTGAACGTGGAGTCACTGCCTCCCCGGGCCTAAGCGCGGGCTTTGAATCCCGGGGACAGGCCCCGCCCAGAGAGGTTCAGGCCCTGCCCTGAGAACTAGGCTCCACCTTTGAGCACCTTGATGGTGCAGGCCGCGCCCCTCAGGGCAAGGCCCCGCCCCTGAGTGCCTGGCCCTGCCTCCTGAGAGCACAGACAGCGCCTTTTGAAGTCCATGCTCCGCCCCTGGAGGACGAGGATCCACTTTTGAAAAGGCTGTGGTGCAGGCCACGCCCCTATGACAAGACTCCGCCTTTTGAGGGCCTGAGCCCACCCCTTGAGTTCCAGTACCTGCCCAAAGAAGTTTGAGGGACCAGGTTCGGTCCACCCACGGGGCCCAGGCCCAACCCCAGGATCACGTGGATTCAGGCCCAGCTTTTCTAATACACTAGAAACTAAAGCCACGTTCCTGCTGGTGTAGCGTCCGAGGTCTCACTCAGTGAACCTTCCCTGGACCTTAGCCCGGCTACTCGGATTCAAGCCATGCCCCTGTGGATGTCGGACCGGCTTCCAAATTCAGGACTTGGGAGCAGGAGCAGGAAGTCAGAGCCCCTGGCCCAGGCCCTCCTCTGGGTGGGCTGCCACCTAGGACTCAGTATGTTTGCTCCTGTTCTTTTGTAAATCCTGTCCCTTGGAAGCCCCTTCCTTCCTTCCTTGCTAAAAGGTCCTTCTCTGAGTCTTCTGAGTTTTGTAGAATAAAAGTAGTGCATCTAGACGGGCCTGTGAGGGACTCTGAGCCATTGGGAAATTGTCTTTGGATAGAAACTGTTTGGGACAGTCCATGCAATCATTTATTCTGTTAAGTTTCTCCTGGCACTGGGCAGGCTTGCTGATGGTCGCATGTGGGGTCTGGGAAGTGGAGGGGACTCCAGGTTGTGTCTGAACACTGTATGAATGGCACGGATATGAACTAAGATGGGGAACACTAGAAGTTAGTTGCAGTTTGGGAGGTGGAATCAGGATCTGGGTCTTGGCCAGAGGGGTTGGAGATGCCAAGTGGGCGTGTGAGTGGACAGGCCTGGAGTTTGGGAGGGAGTTCTGGACTGGGGATGTGTATGTGGGAAGCCTCAGTATTTGTTGTTGTCAGCTGCCATTAAGTCGACCCTGACTCATGACCCCCTGCCCAACAGAAGTATGCTCATTGTTGTAGCCACCATGTATTTTGAGTGACTTCCATTCCAGGAGGCCCATCTTCCAGCACTGTATCGAGCAATATTCGGTTGGGACACATAGGGTTTTCACTGACTAATTTTCAGAAGTTGATCACCAGGCCTTTCTTCCTAGCCTCAGTCTGGAAGCTCTGTTGAAACTTGATTAACATGGGTGACCCTGCTAGTATATGAAATACCAGTGACATGGCTCTCAGCTTCACAGCAACATACAGGCCATCACTATGTGACAGACAGTATTTAGATTTAAACAAGACTGAATGGGATTCCCAGGAGGTAACAGAGAAGTGGTTTTAGGACCAAGTTTGTAGTCTCCAAATTTGGGATCTAAAGAGTACTCCCTGAGCGCCCTTCCCGTATAGCCTCATTTTGTCCTCGCCCATTGAATAGAGGTGGAAACTGAGGCTCTTCTAAGACTATGGCTCATAGTGTTTTTCTGTTCTGTCTGTTGGATTTCCAGTCCTAGTCTGTGTCCCTAGCCTTCCTTTGCCTGGAACGGGGTGTCAGCAGTGGTTGGGGTGCTAATGACAGGCTCCAAGGCCTGGGAGGCAGAGTGATGCTGAAGACCGCTTAAATCAGTCCTGGGGCGCCCTCGCGTGGCGTGTACTGGGATCATCAGCTGGATCTTCTCATAATCCGGTGTGAGGTAGGTTACCTGCGGCTGTCCCAGTCCCTACAGGCAAAGGCGTTTTCTATGAAAAATAGATCTTATGGCAAGCACTGAAGGTGCTCTGGTGTCACTGTAGGATGATCACTGGACTGCTAACCGCAAGTTCAGCAGTTCAAACTCACCAGCGGCTCCAAGGGAGAAAGATGAAGCTTTCTGCTCCTATAAAGATTAACAGCCTCGGAAACTGGACATAGAGTCGTTGTGAATGGGAATCGGCTCCGTGGAAGTGGGTTTGGTTTTTGGTTTCGGCAAGTACTGAGATCACACCCCTGTCCAAACATCGGACACCCATCGTTTAGAATAACTTTACCATAATAGCAGCTCAACAATGCAAGTCAAGCTCCGTCTTTTACTTAACACGTGATGGCACTACATGAAAATCACATCTGCCACTTTCTTGCTTTTTCACTGAGGAAATTCGGTCGTTGATGTGCTCAGTCGTTTTCTCAGTTGCTTGTCTTTCTACACTCAGGAGCAGTCCTGGACTTTTCTAGGTGAGGCAGTGCGGGTTCCCGGGGTGTGGGGGTTTTACAACCAAACTGCAGCGGTGGGAGCGGCGCGCATCGGACAGGGCCTGAGGCTGAGGCCATCAGCGTGAGCTCCCGCAGGGCCAGTCCACTGCCCCGCCCACCGGGGCGTCCTCCCGGGTTTTAGGGTTTTAGCAGAGTGAAGGGAGCTCAGAGAGGAGTGGGGTAGGGGCAGGTCAACTGAGATCCTCAGAGGTGACACCTAGTCCCCCGCCCCTCCCCCGCCTTCCGCAAAAGGGAGTGCAGGAAGAATGAACGGAATTTCCAAATGTATTGTTTCTAAGAGTCATGGAGTCAGTTCTGGATCCTGTATTAATGCATTTGAGTTATGGTGTTGGAGGAGCATGTTGAAAGTACTATGGACTGTCCAAAGAACAAACCAATCTGTGTTGGAAGAAATACAGCCAGAGTGCTCCCTGGAAGCCAGGATGACTTCAGACTTATTATCAGGAGGGACCAGTCCCTGGAGAAGGACATCATGTTTGGTAAAGTGGAGGGTTGGAGAAAAAGAGGAAGATCCCCAAAGAGATGGATTGGCATAGAGGCAGCAGCAATGGGTCAGGTGTAGCAAGGATGGTGAGGTTGGCACAGGGCCGGGCAGTGTTTTGTTCTGTTGTGCACAGGGGCACTATGAGTTGGTACCGACTCCATGATGGTACCTAACAACAACAACATAGGGTTTCTGAGGCTGTAAATCTTTGAGGGATCAGAAAGCCTCATCTTTCTCTCACCAAGCAGCTGATGGATTTGAATCTGACTTTGTGGTTCTCAGTCCAGTGCTTATCCTACAGAGCCACCAGGCTACCCCCTAAGTGGTGGGGAGTTGTTAGTATTATCATGTTTGAGCCCATTGCTGCTACGGCTGTGTTAATCAATCTCTTAGGGCTCTTCTTCCTTTTTGCTGACTTTCTACCTTCCCAAACATGATGTCCTTCTCCAGGGACTGGTCCTGCTGGATAACATGATCAAAATACGAGAGACAAGTTTCACCATCCTGGCATCTAAGAAGCATTCTGGCTATACTTCTTTCAAGAAAAATTTATTTGTTTTTCTGGCAGTCCATGGTACTTTCAATAGTCTTCGTCAACACCATACTTCAAATGTATTCATTCCATTATCTTATTCATTGTCCAACTTCACATGCATATGTTGTTGTTAAGTGCTGGTTCTGACCCATGGCCACCCTGTATAGGGTTTCCAAAGAGCAGCTGGTGAACTTGAACCACCGACCTTGAGATTCAAAGCGACTTTGCAGTCCAGCGCATTAGCCTACAGCACCACACCAGGACATGCATATGAGGTGATGGAAAATACTATGACTTGGGTCAGGCACACTTTATTCCTTAAACTGCATCTTTGCTCTTGAACGTTTTGAAGAGGTCTTTTGCATCAGATTTGCTTAATGCACTCCATCAGTTTGATTTTTTGACAGCAGCTTCCATGAGCATTGATTGTGGATCCAACCAAATTGAAGTCTTTGACAACTTCAATCTTTTCTCCATTTATCATGTTATTTATTGGTTCAGTTGTGAGGATTTTTGTTTTCTTTACATTGAGGTTCAATCCATACTGAAGGATGTATCCTTGATCTCCATCAATAAGTATTTCAAGTCCTCTTTGCTTTCAGCAAGAAAGATTGTATCATCTGCATATTGCAAGTTGGTAGTGATTCTTTCTCCAGTCCAGATGCCGTGTGCTTCTTCATATATTCCAGATTCTCAGAATATTTGCTCAGCATAAAGATTGAATAAGTAAGGTGAAATAATACAATGCTGGTAAGCACCTTTCCTGATTTTAAACCATTCAGTATCCCTTGTTCAGTTCTAACAACTGCTTCTTGGTCTATGTACAGGTTCCTCATGAGTACAATTAAGTGTTCTGGAATACACGTTCATTGCAATGTATCCATAGTTAGCTATGATCACACAGTCAAAAGTCTTTGCCTAGTCAGTACAGCATCAGTCAACATCTTTCTGGTATTCTCTGCTTTCCACCAACATCCATCTGATGTCAGCAATGACATCCCTCACTCTAAGTTCTCTTCTGAATCCAGCTTGAACTAGATGAGTGAGTGCCTCCAATGCTGCATCAGTTTGTTGAAACATTTCAATTATTCCTTTCTTATTGCTGTCGCCTTAATTGCTGATTGGCCTTCTTCCTTCAGTACCATTCGTTCTTGATCATATGATACCTCTTGGAATGACTGAATGTCGACCAGTTCTTTCTGATAAAGTGACTCTGTGTATTCCTTCCATCTTCTTTTGATACTTGAATTTTTTTCTTTAGTTCTTTCAGCTTAAGAAATGCTGAGTCTGGTCTTCCCTTTTGGTCGTTGCACATTTTATTATAATATTTGACTTTGTCTTCTCAAACTGCCCTTTGACATTTTCTGTTCAGCTATTTTACTTCCATTTCTTCTGTTTAGTACAGTTCTTCCAGTTGCTTTAGCTTCTCTATGCTCAAGAACAAGCAAGTTTCAGAGTCTCTTCTGGCATCCACTTTGGTCTTCTCTTTTCTTCCGTTTTTAATGATCTTTTTTATTTTGTAATGGATGATGTCTTTGATGTCATCTCACAGTTTTTTTGGTTTTCAGTCATTAGTGTCATTAGACACTAACTAGCGTAGTGGTTAT